ATCAGATCAGTTCGTTACAGGTTTTGCACTGTGATTACAGAAAATTTCATTGTGATTACAGAAAATTTCATTGTGTTTACAGAAAATTGCACTGCTATTTGCGATTAACTGCACTGAAATCAACCAATCGCAGTCGAGTAATATCTTTATATATATATATATATATATATATATATATATATATATATATATATATATATATATATATATATATATATATATATATATATATATATATATATATATATATATATATATATATATATATATATATAGCTTATATTATACGTAATATAAGCTTCAATTTAAAGTAAATTTCATCCTAAAACGCTTCGCAAGACATTTTAAGCTGATGTTCTTTACGAAACTAAACTGCCTTTATCGAAATACTTTGAGTTTGAATTAAAATGATTTCAAATTCTCGCAATCAAACAACATTGCTTTCTTTGTTATTTAAAAATTTTAGTATAATAAAAAGGGTAATCACTAAGGAAACACTGAACTGCTGAGGAAACACGCATAGAACAACTTTTTAAGCAATACGTCAATATTGAAAACAAACCTACCTTCGTTAACGTCGGCGCCGCAAATTTTTTTTCCGTAGACAGTCGGACTCCTCATTGATAGTCGGACGCATCATTGATCCGCGCCCAGGCCTCCGCGCGTTATCGATCGATCCCTTCGTACCCTGCATAACCCACTGGTATACCATATGTCCATCATTCCGCGTTATTCCAGTCTTCGACCACGTAGTAGAAAGATTTTCTTCGCGATGCTATAGCAAATCTACAAACTTTGTTTTTCTGGTTCCGAAAATACACAAGAACTGTTATTGCGAATTAAAATTATATACCATTCTAATTGAACAGAATCAGTATAAGATAACTAGCGTGCAAGGAAATATTGGAAGATTCAAAGCGACCATCAAAACCACTTTCCACAAATAGAAGTATTGCAGAATACCCGTCCACTAGTAATATCATATCATGTAGCCCAGCCACATTTCACTGGATATGTATATACCAGATCTTATTGCATTATTCTAATATGCACAAACTAATTTCTAAGACAATATTACGAATTGATACAATAAAAGAAATAGCATGCAAGACTTTTAATGTTTAATATTATTATGCTTAATATGCTTTATAATATAAATTTTTTCTCCCAGCGACGCTAATTATTAATCATAATCTGTCAAACACCAATGTCCGGTTGTGAGGAACATATTTACATATTACACCACATTTAACTATTTAAGCTCTTTATAGCATGAGAATTTAATCTATTAATACTAACTGTCGCCTTGATCTCAAAATAACTACTTGACCGCTAAAATATAGAGCTACCTATAGTATGAGAATTTGATCTAATGTTAATCTAACTGTATGCCTCGTTCTCAAAATAACCGACTTGACTGCGTATCATGCGTATCCACTAGAATATATAGAGCTACCTTTAACACTATGACAATTTAATCTATTCATGCTAAGTCACTGTATGTCTCGTAGCTACCTTTACCACCATGGGATTTAAATCTATCATTTACTAGACTATGAGACTATCAATGTATTTATTATTAATCTATTGAGAATAAATATAGATGTATTAATACATCGTGTCCGTGTTTGAAAGGCTTAGCTTAAAAAGTCTAAAAAGTGGACGGGTATTCTGTAATCGCTCCGAAAAGAGTTGCAAAAAACAGATGCAAAAGTAAAGAAAAGCAAGTGGAAATGACGAATATAACTTAATAAAATATGTTAGATGTCATCACCACACAAGATATGAAGCCACAATGTGTCCTGCTCAGATTTTGACATCTCAACCAAACAATACAATATTTTGAAATCACCAGTTACGTGCGCAAGACACACTGGGAAGACGCATCTGATAAGAAGAGTATCCGCTGAATATTTTGTTTAAGGGCGCGGGTCAATGATGCGTCCGTCGACTATCAAAGAGGAGTCCGACTGTCCACGGAAAAAAAGTTTGCGTAGGCGCCTTTACCCTTCTTTTAGCAATTCTTTCGCATTTATATTCTTAAATAGCTTTTGAAATTCAGAAAATCTTGAATGCAAGAAATCATCAAATCAAGAAATGTTTGCTATTTCGATGTCATCATGCAGTCGTTATAATGCAAGTTTTAAATTTGACCAATCAGTATTCGCTATTCATGACAGTCCTCCATATTTTTGAGATTAGTGAATGATGACCATCCACTCAACACCGTTGGTCACCCACGCCCGCGATCACTGATGAACTTCAGACTTCGCTAATGCTTTCGTTTTCCCGGGTGTTAATAGCGAACGGAGTACCCAATTAGTAGCCTCGCCCCGGGCTTACGTCCAGAACGGCGCTGCCCGCGCCGTTGAATCGGGAATAAAGTGACGTGAATTAATTTTGATCCAATTCCGGGGCTGGACTAATATATGCTTTACCAGGTATCCAGCAAAATAAAGCAATTTCGTTGGAGATGCTAGCTTACCAAATTTAAAAGGGCACAGAACTGTGTTCATTACCATTTCTTTTAGGATAATTTGACTGTCTTTAATATAATAACTGTCTTTCAGAATAATTACAAAATACACAATTCGGAGCTGAGAACAATATTGCTAGACTTGTGGCACCGTTATATTGCTTCAATTACATAGAATTCGAAAATAACTGACGTTTGAAAATTACATGCCATTTTCCATTCTCGTTTAGTAATTTGTAGGAAAGTTTTATCCATTGAAAACGGTCAAGTAAGTGGAGATGGAACATTGGAAGAAGATACAATCAGTTTTACTTGTGACCAAAACTACTTGTTGGTCGGGGAAAAACATCTAAGATGTATGGGCAGTGGAAAATGGAATGCTTCAGAACCAAAATGCAAAGGTGTAACAAGCTTATGCAGCACAAAGCTCTAAAATAGAACTCTAACTCCAAGAATTCGTTGTTATCGTGTTTGATGCACTCTCTTGCTCATAACTCAACTCATTCAATTTTAATTTGTTCGCAGAAATGTGTTCTGATCCGTCAAATGCTACAAATGCAAGAGTGATAGGAAATAAGTTCTACCAAGCCAAGGAAGTGGAATTCGCTTGCAGCGACGATGATATTTTAATTCCTGAATCATCAAGGAAGTTGACGTGCGAAAACGGAAAGTGGAATGGATCATTACCGTCATGTAAAGGTATGACTGTATGATGAGCTGTAATCAAATTTGGAAATCTTACAGGATTCCTGCGGAATCCTGTAAGAACAAACACAGAAAATATAATCATATAAATTATTTTTGATAGCAAACTGTCCATTAACCTACTGCGATAACTCGTTTCGTACTAATTGCGTTCATTCCTGTTCTTCTGGTTTTGTTTCTCACTGTTTTGACTTGATTTGCAGAATATATTTGCAAAACAAAGGCATTCTTCTCTTTTCTAGTCAATAGGGGGCAGCATATTTTTGTTTCTGTTCGGATTTAGTTTGTGTTTATAAACCGTAATGATAGAAATAGTCTGATATACGGACATTCTTCAGTAGTGTTTTTGAGATATGCGCGCTCTTTCGAGCAGTTTGTTAAGTCAAGGATCTGGCGGCATGGATGTTTGAAACCTTCTTACTCGGCATTCTGGCGCAAAGAATCTACGAGATGTTATTGCGGCGAAATTGAACCTCAAATACAAGGCATAGAAAATAGTAATTAAGCGCCAACCCAGCTCGCAAAGAAAATAAATTAAACGCTAGGAAGGTGAACAGTTCAATACAGTTTCAATCTGCATTGACGTAGATAGAGTAGCAATTAAATATGAGGGATATGATAAAAAACTTATTATAAATGAATTTCTGGCGCATGGCGCTATATACTGTATCTGCCAATTTCCAGATATTCAGTTGAAAGTTAATTGAATTAAACTGACTGGAAAGAAAAAGAAAGAAAAGAAGAAAAAAGGCGGCTAAGAAGCGTCCGAGTTCACCGAGATCGAGGCGTATCAAAATGTTAAAAATCACAAATGGACGTAGAGGAGCAATTAATAGACCTTTCCAAGGTTTTTACAAAAACATTGGGGCGAGCGCGCGGCCACCAATGGCGCCCATACTATTTCCTATTGAGTGAGTGAAAATTACCTTTTGACATTTTCTCCTTTTTCTCCAAAAAATTCAATACAATCATATCCAATTTTTATTTTTAGATAATCGCTGGTTTTTTTTTTATATGTGGCCGAGATTTCTTGTTAATCGAAGGACAGGAAGTAATAAAAAATGGCGGCTTTTGTTGCACAACTTGACCGATGTTTGAGCGATGATTCTTGTTATTTCGTTTGTTTAAACCAATCTTTGGAAGAATATTTGTCCATTAAAGCACATTGGCAACCAAAATTTTTATTACATATATCTATTAGGTATACTTACGGAATATTTAATTTCATATTTTGGCCGGTGTGTCGCGTTTAGTTGCAGAGAAAATTTAATTGAATTTGAGAAAATTTGAACAGTTGTCCGCCATTTTGAAAATAAGCGCGTATGCTAATTTATGCCACAAAATACATTATCTGACGTCATTGGCTGGGTAAAAACAATCTCATGACTATAAACAATATCATGTAATACCACGCGTAGTGCATTTTGAGCCAAAACAAAAGGCAGAAAAGTTTTACCAAGTATGTAACTTGTTTGTAACACTATTTCTCATAGTATATATCCTACTCCGTATTAAATAAGCGCAGAAATTCGAGTGTAACAAGGAAAATACTAATGCAATATTTTATGATCAATTACCTGCATTGTAAATTGCGCCATTTCTTGCTTTCCCAGTCGCTCGATATGTTTTTATCTGATAGTGTAAACTTCTCTTGTTTGATTACGAAGAGTTTTGGCCAGTATAACGCTCAAAGCGACATATTTTTAGCTAACATAACACGCACGCAATAGAATTCTCTCTTGTAGTTTTGGTGCTACCCAGCCAATGACGTCACAAAGTTCATTGACCTTCGAGATAATTTTTCAAAAATATTTTCCAAGATGGCGGAGAAACTGGCCGAAACACAAAGTTTGCATGCATTTTACTCGTAGACTAAAATGTTCAAGAAGGAAATGATAATATTTTCATAGTTCAGTTGTCAAGTAGGATGGAAATTGCCAATAAAAATTTTCGTTGCCAATGTCCTTTAACGGTGTGTAAGTCCTTTGGTGTCAGCCATTATTACTGTTTATATTTGTATATTTGCACAAAAATCATCGCTCAAATGTCGGTCAAGTTGTACAATAAAAGCCGCCGTTTTTTATTACTTCCTGTACTTCGATTAGCACGAAATCTCGGCCACATATCAGAAAAAACCCAGAGATTATCTAAAAATAAAAATTGGATATGCTTGTATAGAAACTTTTTGAGAAAAAGGACAAAATGTCAAAAGGTAATTTTCACTCACTCAATAGGAAATAGTATGGGCGCCATTGGTGGCCGCGCGCTCGCCCCAATGTTTTTGCACCGCCTGCAATATGGCGGTAGAAACCTTGGAAAGGTCTATTAAGTGTTTCCCAATTAAAGGTTACATGTTTCTCTTCATGTCGGAATTTCAATTCCCTGCATTTTCCTTGGGGCTTCCAAATTTCTCTACTAGTCATATGGATAATGCATAATAACAATTTACACGTCCGCTCTTACGAGTTCTTAATATATACTATTCTGCTTGTCTTAGGAACTCAAACCAAGAATACGTAATACCCGATTGCCTTTTCATTGAGTGTGTATTCCCAGGGTTTATTTTAACGTGCAGTTCTACACAAAATGTGCAGTTCTAAACCCATTTGTGCAGTTCTTAAAACACAAATGTGCAGTCACCAAACTAACAAAAATGATAGCCTTAAAGGACATTGGCAACCAAAATTTTATTACTTATATCTATTAGGTATACTTACGGAATATTAAATTTCATATTTTGGCCGGTTTATCGCGTTTAGTTGTTGAGAAAATTTGATTGACTTTCAGAAAAGTTGAACAGTTGTCCGCCATTTTGAAAATAAGCGCGTATGCTAATTTATGCCACAAAATACATTATCTGACGTCATTGGCTGGGTAAACACAATCTCATGACTATAAAAAATACCGTGTATTGCCACGCGTGGTGCATTTTGAGCCAAAACAAAAGGCAGAAAAGTTTTACCAAGTATGTAACTTGTTTGTAACACTATTTCTAATAGTATATATCATACTCCGTGTTTAAGTAAGCGCAGAAATTCGAGTGTAACAAAACAAATACTAATGCAATATTTTGTGATCAATTACCTGTATTGTATATATATTGCGCCATTCTTTGCTTTCCCAGTCGCTCGATATGTTTTTATCTAAGTGTAGACTTATCTTGTTTGATTGCGAAGCGTGTTGGCCAGTATAACGCTCAAAACGACATATTTTTAGCTAACATAACACGTACGCAATATAATTCTCTCTTGTAGTTTTGGTGCTACCCAGCTAATGACGTCACAAAGTTCATTGACCTTCGAGATAATTTTTCAAAAATTATTTCCAAGATGGCGGCGAAACACAAAGTTTGCATGCATTTTACTCGTAGACTAGAATGTTCGAGAAGGAAATAATAATACTTTCATAGTTTGGTTGTCATATACGATTGAAATAGCCAATAAAAATTTTCGTTGCCATTGTCCTTTAATTAAAACAGTCTTCTCTTTTACTCGTTAACTTAACCTTGTGGACGCTCCAGAATATTCCAGAAATGCTATCATTAATTGAACATCAAAAATATAAACGTTTTCTGTAGGAGGAGTCCATACCCTCCTATTTTCCTCACAAATCACTTACGTGCTGGGGTGATGGAAAAGAAGGCAAAATTGATGCGAGCGAAGCTCTCCAAAAGAGATTAGAGTGGGAGAACCTAATATTTTTTACTGCCTCAAATGCAAATTTAAGGTTGTTATATATTGAGTATCCATGAATCTCTGTTGCAAGTTTTGAAATAGTTTTTGTTAGTGATTGGGTAAAACACATCTTTGCCAGAACTTAAGAACCTCTAGATTCAAATTGTTTGAGGGAACACCCCCTTGCTCCCGCACCCTAAATCGAGTTTGTCTGGCCTTTCTCCAATTCTCCCACCCAACCACACCATTATTCGGTCATCTATATGCTGGAAAAAATCCTTCGACCCCCCCCCCCTCCAAGTCAAACACCCTTCGTAACATCCTTACATATATGTGCAGTTCTAAATTTTTCTTAAAATTAACCCTGTGTATTCCTTAACTCTGCTAGATATACGCTATTAGTTATTCCTATCGTTGAAATCTATCTTCCATTTTCTATTTATAGCTTTATGTCCAATTCTGTCACAAATACGTAATGGTGTTATAAATGGTAGTGGTCGAGCACATGGTTCATCCATTCAATTCACCTGCAATGAAGGTTATCAACTGACTGGGGCAGCCAGCGCAAGGTGTAATGACGGGCAGTGGTCAGAAACAGTCCCACATTGTTTAGGTTTGTATTTTACACCCAAATTTGCATATTACTTTTCGTCTCTAATTTCACCGAATTAAAATTGAACAAAATAAAGAATTTGAACAAAATGAGATCGTATTCAATGTTAAATAGCATAAATCAGGATGTGTCGATTGTGTATGCATAACAATTAAGAAGTCTATTTTATTTTATTCAATAGCTTTTTGCAACAAAATTTCAAAAATTGAAAACGGCCAGATTACTGGAGTTAGATTCCTAGAAGGAGATGAAATAAGTTTTCTGTGTAATCAAAACTACGTGTTGGTAGGAGAGAAAGTCCTAGGATGCACAAATACAGGGAGATGGAATGCTTCAGAACCAAAGTGTAAAGGTAATTGAATATTAATGTGTTTTTTTTTATTTGAAAATAGTAAACGCTTCAAAATGACTTGCTATCGACCACGAAGAAAACGAATAGGGTGTGGTCATGTCAAAATCTTATTTTAATTTCAATTTCTGTTCATTTTATACTTTATTGTGTAACCTGGGATGATTCAAATTCAAACTAAGCAAGAATGCTTTTGCCATTTTTAGTGACGTTTGTAGGCCTATAGTAACAGTTTACCTTTAGCAGTTTATACCGACTGGATCTGAATACTTGAAACATTTTCTCGTTTCTTTCATATCGTAAAAAATCTATTTTTTTTAAACTAATTTTAGTCTTCCATGCAGATTTAATTTTAAGCTTGGTTAAAACTAATGTCGAAAAGATTGAGCAAAAATGGATTTAACTTGTCAATGATGTGAAAGAGTACAGCGTATCGTCTTTAGCGTAGGAACGACACTTCAAAAACTACCAGGATGCTTGCATGACGAAAATTAATTGCACTTAAGGGCGCTGCCGTATTAATTTTTCGTGCACACGCATTGCGATGTACCACGCCAGCATAAATAAGGAAATAACGACTTAAAGTGAAATTAAATTATAGAGTGAATTGATGTTTATTAAAACTCCTTTGCACCACATCCCAGTGTCGTCGTTCATCACTGAACGATACCAAGAAATTTAATATCCTCGGTTCAGTGCATGCTATGAAGACAGAAATACCACCATTCGATTCAGAAATAAATGATTCAACTAATTCCTCCGTATAGTTATAGTCATTATCAACATTGTAGCGATTTATGGGCCTTTGAAAGTCAAACACGATCATATTGTATCAAATTACGCAATTGTCTGAACAAAAATATAGACTAGCCGTACCTTTCGCCGAAAATAACTTCGGCCCCTTCGCACATATCGTCTTTGTAATAGTCTTGTTAGAATCCCCATTAAAAACACTACTTAAAGTGTTATTTGCAAGCCTGTATCTTCAAATCTGTATCTTTTATCAATATATTTCCATTTCTTGTCCGACTGTGAGCTCGAAGTGAGTTAATCCCAACCGGAAATACGACTGAAAACCGTCAAAACAATGCGAAGCTTGTATCGTATGACCCTGCAAAAGCCAGAAATGGTTCGCAAGGTCAAATTGCACCCACACGCGTGAGTTTGATGTCATTCCTGGTACAAGTGCTTCTTATTGGCCAATTATTGCGCAATGTACGCAAGTGCGAGTAAAACCCGACATCTTGAAAAATTCAAAATAAATATTTCTACTCGCCGTATTCAAACAAAATTTTGTACACGAAAGCGCTTGAATACAAAGAGTATTTTAAACAAATAGCCGTTCGGCAAATGACGAAATGTTTAACAGATATTCAAGATCTTGTGTATATGAAATTTAGAATCTTTGGCCAAGCGGTGAGTAAATATATGATTGTTTCGGTTTGTGTAATGTTCAGACGGCACTTGACCCCCCGTTTGAAAGGTTATTTTGTGAGGATTACAATGGTGGTATTTATTTAAAAGGGGGATAAATACTCGCCGAGATATTTATATTAGAAAAATTGTGTCGTAATATGATGCGAAAGGGGGTGGTCGAAAAAGAAATATATATTTATTAAAGCGGCCTTCAATCCGAACTTTTTCCCTTTTTTCAATGCACTCTTCACTCATAACTCAACATCTTAAATTGTAATTTATTCGCAGAAAAGTGTTCTGATCCGTCAAAAGGTACAAATGCAAGGGTGATTGGAAATAAGTTCTACCATGGCAAAGAAGTGGAATTCATTTGCACCGAAGATGATACTCTAATACCCGAGTCATCGAGGAAGTTGGCGTGTGAAAATGGAAAATGGAATGGATCATTACCGTCATGTAAAGGTATGACAACAAAAATATAGAAAATATGAACATCCAAATTAGTTTTTCATTGCAAGCCGTCCCATTAATTTAACGTGTTAACTCTGTTCATTCCAATTGCACCTATTCCTGATCTTATAGTTTTCGACCTCACTCTAAAACTGCAGCAGAAAGAAAATAAGCTTCGCATTCTTTTCTTATCACTAGGCTATTGCGAGCAGTATAATGTTGTTTGACAATGTTTGTTATCGATATGGTTTATGTTTTAATCGTAAATTTAAAATTCGTCTGAAATACTAACATTTTTTGCGTCTGTGGGGTCAAATATGAATACTTTAAACCTAGCTTGTTACACGGCGTTTCAGTGCGAAATATCTACGATAGGTTATTACGGATTTGAGCCCCAAAATAGAATGTAGAAAATAACTAAATAAATGCAAGCCCATGCAGCTCCCAAGATAATAGCCGAATTCATATTAGAGACGGGAAACTCGTCTCAGACGGGAAACTCGTCTAATATGAATCCGGGCGCAGACGAGTTTCCCGTCCGAACTTTCCCGTCTAACTTACCCGTCTAAACAGACGGGAAAGTTAGACGGGAATCTCGTCTAGACGGGAAACTCGTCTTAAATTCGAATTTACCCGTCCCTAAATTCATATTCAGACGGGTTTTCGCAGACGAGTTTCCCGTCTAAGACGAGTTTCCCGTCCCTAATATAAATTCGGCTAACAAATGAAAATCTTGGAGGTTGAACATTTCAAAAAATTTCAATCTCATTGGAGAGAGGGCAGCAATTAAACACTAAGCATATGTCCCCAAACTTATCACCTGCTAACAATGAATTTGCAGCGCACTGCCCTACATATACTGGAAATACAAATGCCCATACATTTGAAGGATGATTGATTTGAAAAGCCTGGAAAGACCCTTGATCTGGAAAATGAAGGCGAGCGTTGCGAGAACCAAAGACTATACTATAAGAAGCGCCCGAGACAGTGTGTATTGGGAGTGAGACACACCAAAATGCTAAGAACCAATAAATTGAGATAGAAGAGCAAATAATTCAGTTTTGCCGAATTCAAAGGTACCAGCCGAACAGTATTGATATCTGGCCATGTTGAAGTTTCCCTGGGATTTTCTTCAGGCTTCCATATTATAATTTTGCTATATTGGTGAAACGAATAATGATTTATCTGTACGCATACACATATTACATTACGTATTATACCTGATTTCCTTTTCATTGAATGAGGAGTCTATGATTCTATAGTTGATATACGCTATTATATAGTCATTCCTGCCGTTAAAATATATCTTTCGTTCTTCAAATTTTTAGCCTCATGTCCACTTCTGTCACAAATACGTAATGGTGTTATAAATGGTAGCGATCGAACACACGGCTCATTCATTCAATTCACCTGCAATGGTGGTTATCAGTTGACTTTGGCATCCAGCGCAAGATGTAATGATGGACGGTGGTCAGCCACAGACCCGCGATGTTTAGGTTTGTATTTATACACGTACAGTACAAGTTTGGCATGCATGCATACAATTTTTCTACTCTAATTTCTCTGAATGAATTAAGACGAGAACAAAATGAAATGGCTGTTTAGTGCGTAAAATTACATAAATCACGATGTGTTGATCATGTATTAAAAATAAATTATAATGTCTAATGGTTATATTAAATGAATTTCTTAATTTTAAAGCTATTTGCAACAAAATTTCATCAATTGAAAACGGCCAGGTTACTGAAGATGGATTCCTAGAAGGAGATGAATTAAGTTTCTTGTGTAATCAAAACTACGTGTTGGTAGGAGAGAAAGTACTAAGATGCACAAACACTGGGAGATGGAATGCTTCAGTACCCAAGTGTAAAGGTAATCGAATGTGAATGAATTTTAGTTATTTCGGATAAATGTTAAACGCTTCAAGAGAGAAATGCTTATACCCTTATATTTGAATGGTAAAATATATGTATGAATGTGCTATGCCTGAATGTAATGTCATTTCTGTTGTTGTTACAATTTGTCAATAATGGACGAGTATGAGCAAAAGCATACTCGCGTAGATTTTACAGCAATGAACTTTGTATTCTTGCGTCTGTTTTCAAAATCCCTCTACTCCATGCCGGGCTCTTTATGCCCGTGTGAAAAAGAACTACCAAAGTTTAAAAAATAAAGTGGGTTCACTTTTTACTTTGTTTTGAAACCAAGTCTGTTTCCAGGTAAAAATAACTAACTTTATAAACCAGACATAATTTTGCGAGAGCTTTCTGTCAGTTCGCTAGTGGTGTATTGATAAAAGCGTGCACCCAGGATCCGAAGTCCATAACTCATGCAGGCTTGAATGCCGGAAAGCCATGCAGTTTCGCTATTTTTGTATTCTTAAAAAAGTTCAATTTCTTTTTCTTCAAATTATGTTTTTTTTTTAATATTATTTTATGCTAAATCTTGCGCCTGGATTACACCTTGAATCAGCATTATTAAATAGCAACGCCAAGAATGTTGAGTAAAAGTGCGGTGAATTTGTCACTGATCTGAGAAATTTTGGCGGATTGTCAGAAGCTTCGCCTGCTCGCAGACGTTGTATATCTTACGCCATCTTTTGACCTGAGCGCCAGAATGAATCCTGCTACGCGTCAACCAATGAGATTTAGCCTTCCAAATTCTGGAAAGTGACATCAGTTGACTTAGGAACGGAATAAATATAAATAAATATTTTGAAAGCAGTTGTCGGTTGAATTTGGGTCAAACTTGCACATAAATTGAATTTTAAAATATTGATACTTGTCCACGTCGGCCTAATAAAATGCACCATTAATTATCCGGTTCGGATATTGAAGATGTTCGGTAATATTAAAAACGCGGACAGGATGGCATTGTATTGTATGAATCTAGGCCAGACAGCATCAAATGCCGAATATATATTTCGCTTTCTTAGTAATTTAACTTTTGACTGATATTTATCTTCAAGACAACAGAAAACAGAAGATCGAAAAAATATATATAATTATACTATGGCTTACTGGCTTAGAAAGCGAAATATTAGCTTCAAAGTACACAAACTTGCTATTTGAAAAACCACTTCTGAATGTAAACTGAAAACGCAACACAAACCCGAGAAACTTGTAAATGCGCCGAGATGAATTTTTCCAATTCGCACAAACTTCGAAAGTTGATACTATAACTTGGCTATACTTTTCTACATGACAACGAGAGATTGATCTTTTAGACGTTTTTGTACGTCGAAGACATAGCATATATACGAAGTATTAATGGCAACATTTCGACATATCCTGATATACCCGAGTTTCCCAATTGCTTGTTTGTCATTTTTAACAAAAAATTAAATTTCGTCTAGTGCATTGCAAATTCATATACGCCGATTGTTTGCAGAACATGCATGCGAGAAGATGATCCTAATATCATTCTACGTAAACATCGTGAAGTTCAAGGCCACAGTCTCCACAATAGATCCACGGAAGTAAACAAATTTCAACCCAAACAATATATTCCCATGTGCAAGAGCTGCCCACTAGTGGCCAATCCCTAAATAAGACGGTTTCCAATTGGCCCGAACTCTTTTGAACACTTGCCAAATGATTGACCCCTAACACAAAGGGAATTGAATGTGCAGCTGGATCACCAAACGTTAGTTTTTCGTCGTTTGGCGCAAGAAAAAAAAACGTTTGCGAGCAAGCCATCAGAAGCTTAGTAGCGGCTATTTTTAGGATGTACTATGAAGCACTTGCTATTGAATCAAGCTTATATAATTATATTAAGTTCAAAGTATTGCAGAAGCGTGTCCAATAGCCCTGTCGCACTGCACTTTTGAAAATCTCACGGCATTTTTCTTTTTCATTTAGTAATTTGTAGGAAAGTTTTATCCATTGAAAACGGTCAAGTCAGTGGTGATGGAACATTGGAAGAAGATACAATCAGTTTTACTTGTGACCAAAACTACGTGTTGGTCGGGGAAAAACATCTAAGATGTATGGGCAGTGGAAAATGGAATGCTTCAGAACCAAAATGCAAAGGTGTAACAAGCTTATGCAGCAGAAAGCTCTAAAATAGAACTCTAACTTCAAGAATTCGTTATTATCATGTTTGATGCACTCTCTTAACTCAACTGATTCAATTTTAATTTGTTCGTAGAAAAATGTTCTGATCCGTCAAAAGGTACAAATGCAAGAGTGATAGGAAATGAGTTCTACCATGGCCAGGAAGTGGAATTCGTTTGCAGCGACGATAATATTCTAATTCCTGATTCATCGAGGAAGTTGACGTGTGAAAACGGAAATTGGAATGGATCATTTCCGTTATGTAAAGGTATGGCAATATGATGAGCTGAAATCAGGTTTGAAAATCTTAAGGCTAGCTCCGTCACACTATTGCGTATCGTACTAGCGTATGCCAGCGTATGAAAAATACACTTATACGCCGGTATACGCTGACATACGCTAGCGGTTCGTTAGGCATAGGTTGTATACGTTTCAAGCACGGTCGCGTACGGTGGCATACGCTGGCAGACGGCAGAAAATTTTTTTTAAGCATGTTCAAAAATTTTGTGCATATTGGACGTATGCTTTATACGATAAGCATACTCTAGGCAAACGCTAAATACGCTAGAGGTACGTCAGGCACGGTCGCGCGGTATTTCACAGGATTTTTATGCGTTTGAAAATTATTTCGTTAATTTTCATACGCTTCTCATACGTTTCTCTCATACGCAATAGTGTGACAGGGCCTTAACAGGATTCCTGTGAAAACTCGCACAAGTAAGAATGTCCATGTCCGATCCCTATACTGATACTCTCATATATGGATGCCATAAACATTGTTAGGTAGCATTTTAGCGCAAGGGATCTGCGATAGGTAGTAAAATTGAACCTCAAACACAGGGTAGAAATTAACTAAATAACCAAAGCCCAGCTCACAAGATAATAAATAGAAAATGTGGCTGTTAAACATTTCAAATTGTTTCAATGCTGTTGAATATCATCCATATATGACCACAAACTCATGACCAATTAATTTCTAGCGCACTGCCATATATGTAGCTACTGCATGTACAGGTATAATGTATAATAAAAAATGCCATATATTCGAAAGATAATGAGATCAACCGGTTGGAAAGGCCAGTGTGGTCTACAAACCGAAGGCGTTGTTGGGAAGACCAACAAAGACTAACAATCGTCCCAGGTTACCGGGAATGAGGCGCACTATATTGTTCAGTTTCTCCCATGCAGTTCAAAGGAAACAGGCGAATATTTTAGGTTCTTTGCATGTCGGAATACTCCAGAATTTTCTTGGGGCTTCCAATTTTTGACATTATTGTTCTTACTAATACTCTCGTGCATGCCTTAGGAACCTCGGGCTCAAAGCAGGCATACGTATACCCGATTGCCTTTTCTTTGAGTGTGCAATCCTTAAACCTACTATACCTGTATATATACGCTATTAGCTATTCGTGCCTTTTAAAGGTATCTTTTATTTTTCTCTTGATAGCTTTATGTCCAATTCTATCAAAAATACGTAATGGTGTTATAAATGGAGCTGATCGAACACATGGATCACTCATTCAATTCACATGCAATGGTGCTTATAAGCGGGTTGGAGCATCCAGCGCAATATGTAATGATGGAAGGTGGTCAGAAAGATTTCCACGATGCTTAGGTTTGTACATTACAATAACGAGTTTGGATGCATTTTGTTCGACTGAATTGGAATATAAAGTGTATACGAAATTAAAAATGGATGGATGTTCAATCTGTACAGTTACACAGAAAAGATAACTCGATTGCTCATACACCAAAAGGTTTTAATTCTAATTTTTAAGTGTATTTCCTAATTCTATAGCAATTTGCAACCAGATTTCATCAATTGAAGACGGCCAGGTTATTGGAAGTGGATTCCTAGAAGGGGATGAAATAAGTTTCTTGTGTAATCAAAACCACGTGTTGGTTGGAGAGAAATTCCTAAGATGCACAAACATTGGGAGATGGAATGCTTCAGAACCAAAGTGCAAAGGTAATAATTAAATATTGATGAATTTTTAATATAAAAATAGCGATTGTACTACTTCACCTCGGATACATACCTATACCTTGATAAAGGTAACAATGCTGAAGTGTAAAAAATAGTTTGGGCTCTTTTTTACTTTGTTACGTAACCGGGCCTCTAACGAAATTTCACTGATGCAGCTGTTTTTCAACAAAAAAATAAACGTCCCACCGTGATTGGTTAAGGAAACTTAGTGTAAGTAATAGGATCGTATCAAGTGCAGTTTGGATAAAACGTGCACAAGTGAATTTTTCAAAGAGGATCTACAGTAATCTGCAATCTTGGAAAAAAGTGAATGAAACACTTATAAAAAATCAATAAAATAGACAATATCTCCTCCACCGTGAACAGTGTTGGGAGTGAAGTCTAAAAAAATGTGTTCAATAGTAGTTCATTGATGGCAGAGAGCGCTATTTATAGGTTTTAACTCATCTTAATCAACATTGTAGGGAAAAGGGAGAAGGACAGGTTAAATTGTTAATCATTAGTGGATAGCTGGATGTTTCATTATAGTTTTTGCCAGGATTGTGGCCTATTTCGGCCGGAGATATAGGGCAGTTTTATTTATCAAGCTTTCTTCATAGAAACGTGCTCGGATCCATCGAAGGATACGAATGCAAGAGTGGTAGGAAATGAGTTCGACAACGGTAACCAAATCGAATTTAATTGCCCCAGAGATGGTCTTCTTATTCCAGAAATATCGCGTAAATTGACTTGTAAGAATGGAAAATGGAATGGAACAATACCATCATGCAAAGGTATAACATCTGAAGTTTGTGATGTTACTCATAGAGTATATCTACACCGAGCGAGCTTGAAAAATATTCCCGGCCACGGTGGGTATCGAATCTACGACCTTTGGAATACTAGCCCAATGCTCTGCCAACTTAGCTACGCGGTCATGTCGGATCGAGTAAGTGATATTTCGGAACAGAATATAGTTCCTTTTTACTAGATTACATTTGTATCGAAGGAACTAGATTCTGTTCCGAAATATATATATACGGTGGGCACAAAAGACAGCAAATTCGGCCATGTACAAATATAACTTTCTGTCGTTAGTTTGGAATATCACGAAACTTCCTCACAGGATAGAACTTGCCATTCCTAAAAATCCTATCGATTTTGTTTTTCAATTTTGTTACATTTTGGCGGGAAAATGACGTGCCAACGTTGCCGCCAGAAAATTAAACACGAGCTAAGAACATGCCTGTAACTTTTTTGAAGAGATTGTCCTATAAGGATCTCAAAACCCGAAAAAACATAAAAAATACAACAAGGCAATGCGAAGATATGGCCATTCAAATTTCGAAAAAAATCCATTTTTAGTAACAAAATGGCGGATTTTTCAGATTTTTAAGCACCATATCTTTGCACTGCTTTGGCGTATTTTCAATGTTTTTACAGTTTTGAGATCCTTATAGGACAATCT